GTACCAAAATATGGTTCAAATCTTATTTTTTTGTCCAAACTTTCAATTTTGGCCTCATCTTTTATGTAGGCTTGCTCATTTTCATCTGTTCTAGGTTTTTATAATGGACTTATGCTTCTTTGACATATTGCTGTGTGATATTTTCACAGTATTTGCTTTTTCACATCTCTTCGCTCCTGTATCTAACAGAGCTTGGAGCTTCTTTCTCCCATGCTTCCCTGATCCTTGTTTTAAGAGAAAATGAATTCTTAGATGTTCTCTACAAGTTTGTGGAGATAGTGAAACTCCATCCCATCCCTCCTCCTTTCCCAAGTCAGCGAGGGATTATGGCTGGCTCAAAGAGATTTCTAACTCACATTGTGTGCTGTAATTTTTTACTTTATCAGAAGCTCTATCGCATTTTACTGGATGGAACCTGGGGAACAAAATAACCTTATAGCAGGAAGCTGGGCAGTAGCTGACAATTGCTGGTTTTGTTCTATCTGTTGTGTCATCTGTCTTATTGCATAAGCCAGTTGGTTAATTTGGGCATCTGTCCAAGTCTGATGCAGACTTGGCTGGTGTTTAAACTGGAGTAAGATATTACTATTTTATTCAGAGTCAACAGTGTGGCAAGAAGGTTTGTCTGACTTGGTTCTGGAAAAGTTGAAGTTGGGTTACCTGAGAGTAACAAATTGCTGACATTCTCAAGCTCCAATGGGAATCACTCAGAAAATGCATAAGAAAATGTTGTATGCCGCCCAGAGTCACTTTATGTGTGATGGCCGGCTATATAAATACAATAAATAAAATAAAAATCCAAGAACTGAGAACTAGTAATATTAAGGAATACTGAAAGCCAGTATCAAAAGAACGTCAGTAGCTGAAGTAAATAACGAAGTAGCCTTATTTATAAAGATTATGTTCTAATCTTTTTACGTTTAAGTTTTCACCCCACCCTACCTAACAGGCTACTAGGCTTCCTCTTTGGGCTGGACCAGCTTGTTTCCCTGTTTTTGCAGTGGTCAGACTTGCTCTCACCTGGTTTCTTACTGAGATTTACATCTCACACCCTCTGTGTTAAGGAACATGTTTCAAAATGACCAAGCAGAGGCTGCACTGATTTGACTTTGCATGTTTTCAATTGAGCCAAGTAGAACTCGTTTCAACTTTAGGTAAGCCAGAGTTATGAACCATGTTGATATGGGTTGTCTAGCTTAGAATTCTTTTGAAGGAAGGACATGAATTCTCCCATCATAGATGGTGTGCAGAAACAAAAAACATCAATTTCCTTCAGTCACTGATATGACTGGATTGTTTCCCAATGGCTGATGTTTGAAGTGGAGATAGCAACAAAGTTGGAGAAATTCACTAATTCTTTTATGTGATGTGCCCTGCACGTGTGAAATCAGACCACCATCCAACAATAAGCCTGGGCAGAGGCAGTTGGGGATGACAAAATGCTGGTTTTCCATTGGTTCAAGAGCAGATGGGTAGCACTTTAACTGAGCTATAAAGGTCCCAGTGCTATTGCTTCTGACAGAGAAGGCATTTTCTGCTGTCAAACTACAAGGACATTTTTTCTACTATCATAGCATCCCTGACCATATAATTATATCAGACCAAAGAAGCCCAAAGATGATTTGATGGTATACCAAAATTGCCAGGGGAAAAGGGACACCAAGAATCCTATATATTTTATGTATAGATGAGGTTGAGAGTCAGTTTGATATAGTGTAAGTCACCAGCCTAGAAACCAGGAAACTGTGAGTTCTAGTCCTGCCTTAGGCACAAAGCTAGCTGGATGACTCTGGGCCAGTCTTTCTCTCTCAGCCCTAGGAAGGAGACAATGGCAAACCACTTTTGAAAATGCTACCAAGATTTCTTGGCAAATCCAGGCAGTCAAGATTGACTTGAAGGAACCGCCCAGAGTTGTTTCAACGAGATGGGCGGTGACAAATTTGATATATAAATAAATAAAATAAATAAATAAACAAACAAACAAAAAAAGAGGATAGGTTGCACAACTGGAAATTGTATTGTTATTGAAACAACCCTTGGGAAGTTTTAGGTGAACCTGTAATTATCTCAGCACCTAAAATGATTTGAAATATACTCTTTTCTAGGAGTATTTTTACCCATTTTTTGCTGAGGTTTTTTTTTTTTTAATGGAAACAACTACAATTGCAATGTTCTAAGTCACTATGTTTTTTGAAGAAAATTACTCTTTTAAGAATTGTTGTGAGCCCCCCAGAGTCATTGGGGCATACAGTTCATTTAACTGCCCACTCAATATGTGGCTCACATGTCTGAATATGCACACATATTTTTAACATGGGCTTAAGAAAGAAGAGGAACCTGAGAAAAGAGAAAACTACCTTTACACTACTGGCAGAGTTTACAAATCATGCTAAGCTAAGCTTCATGTGGTTTTTCCAGACAGACTCAAAAGTGCCAGGAATTGCAAGTAGGGCCTACATGCTCCATCACATAGCAGAACCCCCTTGATCTGTGCTATACATATATGTCATCTTTTCCCTTTTTATATTATAGCAATATGTGTTTCTTTTCAGGCTGTGTTCGCTAATAAAGGAAGATACTTGAACAATTATTCCCTCCCCCCTGCCCCCAATCTATGCTCCACAGCAAGATGAGGTAGTAGATACTAAGCTTAGATGATAAGCTTAATGGCAGACAAATCCCAACCCTGTTAACAAAATATAACCTTCAGATCATGCAAATACAAATGGGTTAAGTTTTTCTATAAATTTACTAGAACTATCTGGTCATTTATACAGGATACCAAATTAGACAAGACCTATGGTTTGATGCAGCAGAAATTCCATTTATGTTCTAATACAAATGTGTCCTTCAAATATACTGGATACAACTAGCAGTGGCCATCGTTGCTGCGAACTGCAGTCCAACACTCCTTTTCCAGTACAGCTGCTATGCAGAAGATGACTTTCTTTTTGAGCACCAGATATATAGGAACCTCTTTTGGAAGCTACAAAGCAAACCTAAAGAAGTACATTTTGTAATGACAGCTTCATTATAGTAATGTACACTACCAGTAGTTTCTGCAAATGAGAGCTGCTGAATGCCCAGTAGCTATCGCCCGTCCTACAAAGACTCAAAAAAATAAAAAATAAAAAATTAACAGGTAGATTTGTTGTATTATATATCCATGTTTATCCCATTAGCTTTTTCCTCCTTGGAATTCATTAACATATTTTCAAAGAAACATGTTTTTGCATATATAGAGATTGGTTATTATATATGACCAATATAAACAAATGACTTACAAAGTATAACCTTACCTTAACTGATCAATTGGGGGAAAGGGTGTCTGTTATTGTTGACTGATCACTAAATCAGAAATTACACAATCCACAGCGATTTCATTATGCAAATCACAACATAATGGAAAATTTCTCTGTTTTACTATATTTGTGAATATTTGGTGATAAACTAAGGGATTTTTATATGCTACTATCCTATGTTAACTGCTGGCTAACTTAAACATTTCAAAATACTTGACTTCCCTATTTTATAACGTGAATTGAAATAACTGTTTTCAAATGCTATGTTAAATAGCTTAATACACCTTCATAGGGCAGAAATGTAAACTTCTAAGAATTCAACAATAAGTTACTGAGTCATTGAGAATGTTTTGGTACTGTTTACAAGACCCATTACTAATGCTGTTCTGTACTTACATTTAAAATTTTATTCTCTGTATGCAGAATGTAGGTTAAGGAGAAGATTTTTAAGATTATAATCAGGCAATAACTAAGGTCTCTAGTATATCTAATCATTCCACATCCCGATACAGTAGCAACCTACTTTGGTTGGTTGTCATGGATTTCATCATGGTCTTCATAGAGCACTGGATCTCCTCTTGCCGTGTCAAAGAAAAAAAAAAGCCTGATCCTAAAGATTAAATTTCAGGAATTTTCTTCAGTGCATGTATGTTTGTGTTTGTGTATGTGCATTTGAAAACTGTACTGTGGGCCAAAATTTACTTGAAAATGGACGAAGTTCTTAAACTATCAAGAAAGATACTCTAATTGTGCAATGAATTGGCAAATCTATGAAGTGCATTTGTTGTACATGTGCAGTGACAAGATAGGCTTCTTGTAAAAATTAAAAAATTAAGAGTGACATAATATTGGTTGCATGTTAAGAAAATAAGAAACCAACAATTACCACAAGGGGTGAGAACACAGCAAGAGAAACTTGTTTGTGCAAACACTGAAATTATGTACAGACCATGAGAACAAAATTGTGGTTCATTAACGGTAGCAAATAATTACAAGAAAATAGAATCTTAGAAACAATTATCTATTTTTTTTACTTGCTGCTTGGTAGAATTATGTTTTGAACAGATCAACAACCTATATTTTGTTCTATTTATATTCTATATATCTATACTATACAAGATGTCCTTGATATAAAATTATTTTTGTGTAGAATAGATTGTACATTGTATTTATTGTTCATTATCTCAAAAAAGGACCAGCAGCATTTCTTCATTTTGGATAAAAACAAGCAATTCATATACATCCTACATTTATAAGAACTCATTGCAAAATAGGAAGGAGAACAGGAAAACTACTAAGAGGTTCATAGAGAGTTATTTAAATCAACAGCTGATACAATTACTGTGCGTAGATTGAATCTTAATAGAGCAGACCCACTGAAATTATGGAGTTTAAATTAATAATAATGAAATCAACTCCTTCACAAATTAATAGATCTAGGCTACTGACTAGGTATGGATCCCACCTAATGATTTTAGATGTATACTGGGATGAAAAAGAGCATCTAAGCATCTTCACTTAGATGATTTCTCAACCTTTTTATCACTGAAAATCAAATGCACTTTGATAATGCTCCTTTTTCCTTATTACAGATGTTATTGGAGGTATTTGACAAATATACAATTATTCTCATTTAATTAATCCAATGATAAATCTAAAAAAAATTAATATAGGAAAAATGAGCTATTTCTGTGAGGAGGGAAAAGACTCCAGAGGAATACTGTTATTGCTTCCAGTGAAAATAGAAACAAGGAATAGTCACCTCTAATAACATAGAAACTTGTGGCACTGTGAAAAGCATTATATATATTAATCAACTGAGGTAATCTTGGTATTGCATATTTCAAAAGACTCATATCAATTTTAATTCTAGATCTATGATTGTCTTTTGCTGAAAAAACTCAGATTAAAAATATACTACAAGTCATAATGCAGTATGTACTTTAAACTTGCTGTGGTGGCTCCACTTTACAGAAATAAAGTTCTTTGGTTAGCATGGATACCACACAAGGAACCTGCTTCTTCCTGGAGAAGCGTGGGTCATCAGACTGAGACTCATAGTTTCTTGCTACTTTGTAATTAACTAGGGTCAGAATCTGCAGGATCTCCAAATCTTTGCCATGCTCATTCAGCACTGAGCAAAGAGACTGCACAAACCAGGAGCCTTTCCCTGGATTCCTCCAGGAGTAATAACCTAGAAGTAAGAACAAGGGAAATGTCCTTTAATGATAGAATTAATATGTCCTTTAAGACAGAAAGGGTGAAATACAAAATTTAACACACAAATTTATATTGTAAATTTAGCAATCCAATCCAACAATCCAAATGACAGAAACATTGATTCCAATCATTTATTGTAGTAAGGAATCAAGTGTCTTTCAAGCATCTGGACTATGAAGGAGTCCTTGTTTAGAGACCACAATTAGGACTGATCACTCAGTTGTTAACTGATCACTAAATGAAACCGCGACTATGCTTATGATTTTACTTCAGCTTCCCTTTGCTTTACAGACCTGCAAAAGCCATAAATGTGAAGTACTAACTTTGGTTGCAAAGTTACTTTTTCATCACCTTTGTAACTGTGAATGGTTGCTGTATGAGGCAGCTGCTAAACAAGACTACCTGTATTAGGGCCTATATATCTGTGAAACCACCTTTCCCTGCTTAGATCTAGTGGGGTTGGCATGCTCCATATCCTACTGAACACATATCATATTCAGATCCATGGCTTCTCTGTGGCCACCCCTGCTCTTTGGAACAGTATTTCCCTGAAGTCCACTTAGCTCTGACCTATCTTAAAACTGTATTTACAGTAGGCCCTGGGGCAGAGTATCTTATGACTCCTTACTGATATTGATATTGGACATTTCAACCCCTTGATATTTATGGTGTTTTCTTCCCCGATGTTGTAGTTGTATTGTGTTTGTTATTGGTTTTCATTATCTTTTGCTCTGTTCTGAAGTTTTAAAGATATTGTACATTGCCTTGCATCACTTTGGTGACTGAGGCAGCTTATACATTGTTTAAACAAATCAATAAAGACCAAACAAAATACAATGACTATTGCAACGTGCTCTACATGGGGCTGCCCTTCAAGAGCATTCAGAAGCTCCAGCTGGTACAGAGTGCAGTTGCCCAGGTTGTAAATAGTGTCGGCTACTCAGCACATGTAACACCACTGCTTCGGGAGCTGCATTGGTTGCTGGTGTGTTTCTGGGTACAATTCAAGGTGCTGGTTGTCACCTTTAAAACCCTTCATGGCTTGGGACTGGATTACCTTAGGGACCGTCTTTTCCCAGTTGTTTCTACCTGTCCAATCCAGTCCAGCAGGATAAGCATGCTCCGGGTCCCATCAGCCAAGGAATGTCAGCTGGCGGGGACCAGGAGACATGCCTTTTCTGCTGTGGCGCCTGCCCTCTGGGACAACCTCCATCCTGAGATTAGGATGGCCCTGACCCTTTTGGCTTTTCGGAAGGCCTTGACGATCTGGCTTTAAGCCCACACCTGGGGCCCCAAGTGTGCGAAGGGCCCTATTTCATGGTTGTGCTAACACCTATAGTTTTTTAAAGATCTCTTGGCTGTATTTATATTTTTTATATTGTTTTACTTGTTTGATTG